AGAGAGAGAGAGAGAGAGAGAAAGAGAGAGAGAGAGAGAGAGAGAATGTGTGTCAGAGAGTGTGTGTGTGAGTGTGTGTATGAGTGTGAGTGTATGTGTGTCACTGTGTGTGTGTGTGTCCGTGTGGTGTATGTACACACGCGTACAGGTGTCCACACCTGTATGTGTATGGAGGTCTAGGAGGACATCTATGTCCTGATCTATCACTCTGTCTTACTGTTTTTGAGATGAAGTCTCCACTGAACTTGTAGCTAAGCTAGCTGCCAGTAAGCCCCAGTGATCCTTCCTTCTCCACCCCTGACCACAGCTCTTGGTTTATGAATAGGTACATGGCCAAACCTAGCTTTTTATGTGTGTTCTAGGAATTGAACTCAGGTCCTTATGCTTGGGCAGTATCAATTCTGCCTTCTCAGCCATCTTCCGGCCAACATCTTTAACATTCACCTGCAATGGAAAGTTCGGACCCAGGTTCTAGTGCTGGCTGCTCCTTCCTGCACTCTGGGTTCCTTCTGTATAACAAAGCTACTGTGCTACCTTACCACTGTCTTAGTTATTTCTCCCAACATAAGGGAGAAAGAGCTTATTTTGGCTGCTGTGGGAGAGCATAGTCCAGCATGGTGTCAGGCTGTCAAGCTGCATCTGCAGCTAAGTGGCCGAGGATGGTGAATCCCTGAGCTCAGTTAGCTGTCTTCATTTTTAAGTCATCCAGGATCTAAGCCCAGGAAATGGTACCATTCATGTTTAGGGTGGGTCTTCCCACTTGAACCAATCTAATGAATGCGATCCCTCATAGGCACAGAGACTGTCTCCTGGATGATTCTGTCAGGTTCATGATATTAACAATCACAACTGGTGTGATCCAATCGTATTTTATGTTCTGACCGTCTCTCTGTTCTTTATTCCCCAGTGTTCCAACCTGGAGACGGCCATTGCTGATGCCGAGCAACGAGGGGACTGTGCCCTCAAGGATGCCCGGGCCAAGCTGGATGAGCTGGAGGGCGCCCTGCAGCAGGCCAAGGAGGAGCTGGCTCGGATGATGCGCGAGTACCAGGAGCTCATGGGCCTGAAGCTGTCACTGGACATTGAGATTGCCACCTACCGAAAGCTGCTAGAGGGCGAGGAGTGCAGGTGGGGTGCTGGGGGGCAAGGCCATGCTGCCGAGGGAGAAACAGCTATGGTTTCTCTGGCTGAGGGGACATTTGAGAGGGGGAAGATACAGAAAACATCTTAGTGTTAGCAACACCATGAGAAAGGAAAGCTGTGGTTTGCCAGGTGAACTCAGTTGTGCTTCCTGCGGGGGATGTCAGAGCCCAGCTACATGTACAGGGTACCTTGTGGTGATACAAATGGAGCTGCGGGGACAGACAGATTGCCCCGTTGCCCCATGATAGCAATGTGGCCCCCGTAGATCATGTGGCACCTCTATTTCCCCATCTGTAGAATGGAGGTTGGAATCTTCATGTGTTGCTAAAAGAATGAATTAAACTAATAAACACAGGAAAGCAGGAGCCCATCAAGGCTCAGCAGAATCACTGAGGTTTTATTCTTTTGATTTGTTTGTTTGAAACAGGGTCTTTCTCTGTAGCCCAGGTTGACTCAAAATAATGGTGATCCTCTCGCCTCAGCCTCCTGAGTGGTCTTATTTTTTAACTTTCTGTATTGCAGGATGTCTGGTGAGAACCCATCCTCTGTGAGCATCTGTGAGTATCCTAGAGATGGGATGGGCTGAGGAAGCCAGGGGCTGTGGGATACAGTGATGCACCTCCAATTGCCTTCTTACCTCACTCGCCTAGAGGTTTCTGTTACCATCCTGTGAATGTTCTCTGACATCAGGAAATATTTCCCACTTTCTGTCCCCTGAGAAAAGCGATTGAAGTTTACACCCATCTCTTTTTTGTTGTCCATCTCCTGGGACAGTAATCTGGAGAAAGGCTTGGGAATGGTCACTTCCCCGGGATATCCCAGAAGGCAGGCACTCTATCTATTCTTTGTGGTTCCCCCACCACACGTTAGGCACGTGGCAAGGTCTCATTGCATTGGCTATGCACATGGACTTCACATTTTCCTGGGATAAGCCGAACACCTTCAGAGATGGCAGTTATCATAGTTGTTGTCACTTGCTGACAGATATCTACTCTCGACCCTTCTTCCTCAGCTGTCATCAGCAGCAGCTATGGTTCCTACGGTTATCACCCAAGCTCCATGAGCTCTGACTTTGGGGCTGGTAATGCAACTGGAAGTCCCAGCACCACTCGAAACAGCCAGACCAAGACCAGAGGAGCAAGAGCAACAGAACTTAGGAACTCCCAGAACAAGAGCACTGCTGTTGGTAGCCCGGCCAAGAAGACTACCTGATAAGTCTATCGCCCCACTCACCTCACTGTCTGGAGAAAGAATGTCTCTGTTGCTGCCCAGAGACGCCCATCACACTCCATCCCTGAGTTTTAGGATTCTCTCTATTACACTTGCCTATCCACTATCCACTTTAAGTTTTGGGTGACACAGTCAGTCTTCTGGTGTCAGTGGGCTTCTGACTTTTCTTGCCTTCAGTTTGCAGGAGGCGTTGGAAGCTCAAGCCACCACTGTCTTCTCAAGCTAAGGAGGCTATGATCAACCAGAAAGAGGGGAGAGAAAGAAGTGGTGAGGAAGAAGGGGCATTGAGGTCATATTCTCAATTGTCTACATTTTTGCCCTCAGAATGGGTGGGACTTTGGCAGTCTTCCTCTTTCCCATTGGCCAGGCCATTGAAGAGTGACTGTATTGTTCAAGAAAAAAAATGTACATGTTTGGAGATGCCCTGATGAGCTCCTATTCACAGAGCCCCATGGAAGAGATTTTTTTTTTTTTTACTCATTTTAGCTTTATTTACAGTACTTAAAGTTAGGGGAAATTCAATGACAAAATTGCAGGACAGCCACAACCCAGTTAACTGTCCAAAACAACCAAAAAACAAATTGAAAATGCTCTGTTGGCTCATATAATAATAGTTTAGAGTCCCAGACCCCAAAGTCTTGAGTACATTTACATACTCTAAATCATAATCCTCAGAATGATTCTCTGGGACAGGAACTTCAGCTCCATTTTGGCATATGAGGAAAGTGAATTCAGAAAGGCTTGGTGTTGTTGGACAATGGGGTCACCACCTTTATTATCAATATTAGTTGCTTCCACCTGTCAAGCACCTACTGTGAGCCAGGTTGTCAGGAGCCTGGTGTGTGTTGCCTCCAGTTCTCGCCTAACCCTGCAGAGAATGCATTGGCCACATCTTTGGGACACATAGGGAAGCTGTTTCTCAGAGTGGCTGCGCTAGGCCACATTACATGAGTGACTGAGCTAGCCCACATCACACGCCTACGAGCCAGCTCAAGCCTGGCAGACAGCCAGGGTTCATGATGTTTTGCTGGTATGTCACAATCATGGAATGTCAAGGTCACAGTCCTCAATCTTGCTGGCTTTTGTGAAGACCATGGCTATGTTTGGTTCTTGGACCTCTCTCCAGGCCTGTGACCTCCAGGACTTTATGGCTCTAGAGGGCTATTGCTGTAAGCTGAGTCCAGCAGGTGGGCTTAATGTTGTCTCTGGGTGGTCCTACCCAGCCTGAAGTCAAGGTTTGCTGTGTGAAGGATGGCACCACCTTGTCCCTCCCTTGCACGGCCTAAGGACTCTCAATTTCTGCTGAATGTGCAATAAACTACCTTGGAGCAATCTCAGGGTTGCACATCCGTCTGTCAATCTGTCCAAATCTTCCACTGTCTAAAGACACTGTGACCTGCATGTACATGTGAACAGCCCTATTGGGTAGCTGGAGGTCACAGGGGACTGCACAGGAGGCCACTTCAGGCTGCAGGGAGAGATAGAAACACTCAGAGCCATGCACTTGGGCTTCTCACATCATCTGCAAAAATGAATCAAATGTATGCAACACATAAATGCAACAGTTCAAACTATAAATATCCTAGAAGAAAATACAAGGGTAAATTTGTAAGAAGGTGGCAGCTGGGTGGTGGTGATGCACATCTTTAATCCCAGTACTTGGAAGGCAGAGGTAGGCACTCCATGAGTTCAAGGCCAGCCTGGTCTACAGAGTGAGTTTCGGCACAGCCAGTGCTACACAGAGAGATCCTGTATTGAAAAAAGAAAGTGGTGTGTGCTGCTGCCTCTGCATCTGAGAAGCTGAATTCAAGGCCACTGTGGGGTACACAGTAAGACCCCTCCCTCAAGCAACAAAAATGTGAGGGGGAGGTAAGAAATTGAGAAGACAACCAAGAGGAGGACAAAAAGTATTTACATATCATTTCTCTAGTAGGTTATAGTATTCAGAGTATAAAAGGGACTCTTACAACTCAACAAGGACAGCCTAGCCAAGAAATTGCAAAGGGACCCGAGACTTCTGGAGGACCCGAACTTGATTTCCGGCACCCACATTAGATAGCTCACTACTACCTGTAATTCCACCCCCAGGGGACCCAACACCTCTGGCCTCTTCAGACATCTGTATTTTTGTGCACGCACATATACACATGCGTTCACATAATATACACACAGGCACACACCCAGGCATGTAGGCATACACACAAAATAATCAATTTTTTTTTTAAAAGAAGTATGCCAGTACAGGACTGATCCAGACCCCTGAACATGGATGTCAGTGAGGAGGCTTCTGCACTCCAGGGAGCCCCTGCTAGTGGATTAGTATTTTTCCCTGGTGTGAGAAGGGACTTTGAGAGCCCATTCTATGTGAAGGGATGCACTGTTGCCCTGGACACAGGGGGAAGGGCCTAGGCCCAGTCCCAGGATGATGTGGTGGACTTTGTGGAGCCCCCGTTGAGGGCCCTACCCTGCCTGGGGAGTGGAGAGTGGATGGGGTGGGGGGTAGGTCAGGGTGGGGTAGGAGGGGTGAGGGTGAGGGGAGAGAGAGGGAGAAGGGATTGACATGTGAACCAAGCTTGTTCCTAACTTGAACTAATAAAAAAAAAAAGAAGTATGCAGAGGACTTTAATGAATTTTCATCTACAGAAAGTATACAAATGACTCAACACAGACATTAGAAAAAGTGGGGAGCAAATCCATAATTTATACCTTCTAAGACAATTATGCTATTAAAAGCACAGGGAATAACAGATAGTGGTGAGGATGTCGAGAAGTTGGACCCTTTTGTGCTTTTGTTTTGTCTTAAGACAGGGTCTCACTATGTAGCCCAGCCTGGTCTGGAACTCACTATGTTGACCAGGCTGGCCTCAAGTTCTTAGAGATCCACCTGCCTCTGCCTCCCAAGCCCTGGGTCTAAGGGCATGTGCCACTAAGCCTGGGAGAGAGGTTAGAATCTCTGTGTGGTCCTTAAGAATTAGGCTGGAGTGTTGGCTCAGTGATTAAGAGCACATGTGACTCTTACAGAGGACCCAGGTTCCATCCCCAGCCCCCATGTGGTGGCTCACAACCATCTGTCCTTCGGTTCTAAGGGATCCCATTCCCTCTCCTGACCTCAGTAGGCACTATGAATTCATGTGGTACACCGACATAGACAGAGGGAAACCACTCATACACACATGCACAATAATAAAATAAATATGAGGACTGCTATGTGCCAGTAAGGCTACTCCTAGTGATACAGGCAAAAGAACTGAAATCAGACAGTTCCACAGCACACATAACATAGAAGCTCAGAGTCATACTAGACAAAACAGCCCAAACTTCATCAATGAATGAATGGCTAAAACTGAGGTACAGTATATACTTACAATGAGTACCTTTTCCTTAACCCATGAAAAGAAATGCTGTTACAATGAGAGTGATTCCTGGAAGGGGGTGGTGAATAAAATCATGCTAAATAAAAGGAAAAAAAAAAGAGAGATTTCCCTATTGCACGATCCATTCATAGAAGTGTCTAGATTGGAAATTTAAATTGACAGAAACAGTGGGAATATCAGGCTGCTGGCAATGGACGTAGGGTTTTCTTTGGGGTGATGAAATGCTCTGAAACTAGGAAGAGGTGGTTGTCCATACTACTGGGAACACAGGAATGTCAACTGTTCACCAAATGGTTAATTTTATGGTCTATCATTTTCATTTCAATGAAAGTACAAATTGAATGTGGGGGTATTAGTAAAAAAGGACAGAGAAACTCTGTCCTGCTTCCTCCACCATCAGTGGCAATCTGGCATAGTCTGGGAAACTGTCTAGGGCCAGTAGGACACAGGGACAAACATAGCCTCTATTGAACTGGCCCAGGGAAGGGCAAGCTAGTCTTTGATGGCTAAGAGATGACTATCTGGGAGTATCCAGACTATCCGGGATGCCACCAAATGAGGCATCCTCAGGCTGTCTCACTGGATTTCCTGCTCATTTAACTGGCTACCTGTGTCTCAAGCTTTGGCCATGGAGAACAGTTGGTATCCCAGCGTCCGTGAGTGCCCTTGATGAGCTGAAGCCATAGAAACTGACAAACTTCAACATTTCTTTCATCAGCCAGAACTGTGGCCCTGGAGCTTGGACCAGGATTTGTATGTGTGTGCCTGTGTACATATTCATGTGTGTTTCTGTGAGTTTGTGGGTATAGGTAGGCACACATATGTGTGTGCAGGCCGTAGTTCTACTTCTGGTATCTTTCTCTGTTGTTCTCTATCTTATTTTATCTATTTATTTATTGAGACAGGTCCTCTCCTTGAACTTGAGGTTTATCAGTTGGATTTAGCTGTACTGACTGGCCAGCAGGTCCCTCGGATCCTCCTATGTCTCCTCCCCAGTGCTAGGCTAGCAGATACATGCCACCGGGTCTGGCTTTTTATGCTGGTGCTTTGAATCTGAACTCAGCTGCCCACAATCGTGTGGCAAGCACTTTATCCACTGAGCTACCTCCCCAGCCCTTTAGACCAGGTACTTAAGGGCCAGTCTTGCTGAAGTTCTCAACCTCCATGTCAGCCAGCTAATGTGAGTACAAAATCCCACCACCACCAGAAACTTCTCTCCATTCAGGACTCATCAGCGAAGACCAATGTTTACTGGACTGAGAAGTCCTCCAAGGCAGGCTGTGTCTTCCCCATATGTGGTGGATGCCTGGCAAGGAGAGGCTGCTTGATAAATGCTGAGTGAATGATTTGGGAGGGACATCCTCTCAGGCCCTCTACTGTCCTGGTCTCAGGGATGCTGGATGGGGCAATAATTAACTCATACTGTCACCAGTGGAGTCACTGCCTCCTCTCCCAGGGCTATTATTGAGCAAGAATACATGGAAAATACATGAAATGAGACAATTGAAGTTAGAGCACTCAGAGGTGGAAAGGACAGGATCCGGACAGCTCAGTGTTCACCTCTATGGTTCAGCAGCCAGACCTACAGAAGAGAGCAGAAACCAGAGG